AAAATAGAAAAAAACGAATAGAAATTATCGTCATGTAAAAATTTAATCATTTTTTTTTTTTTCCTTTGGTCCCCCTTCCGTTCCCCTCCCTCCTCCTCCTCTTTCCTCTTTCTCCTCCCTTTGGGAAAGTACGTATGCGTTTTAATAAAAAAAATTTTTTTTTTGAAATTTGTTTTTTTTTTCTCTTCTTCTACATATCATTCGCTCCAACGAATACTAAATTATAATATATATATTATATATATATTTTATAAAAAAAACTTTATATGAGAAAATTTTTCGAAAAAAAAAAAAAAATTCAAACATTATTGAAATTTCAAGGTCAGTAGAGGTGAGAGTTGTTTTAGAAGTATAATTCGATACGTAAAATAAAAAAATAATTTAAAAAAAAATAAATACCTCCTCGGAATTTTTCCTTTTTTTTTTTTAAAAAAAAAAAAAAAAAACTATTATTATTATTATTCTTTTTGATTTATAAAAAAAAAAAAAAAAACGTTTATATGCTCCAAGTTTTATCCAAAAGTTTTGTATCCATGATGGCTTGTAAAAATCCACACCGTGTGACACATAAACTTTAAACACTTTTCATATAAATCACTACTTGAAACATTAAACACTACCACCACCACCACCACTTATTTTATCTTTAAAAGGTTTTTTTTTTTAAGAGCCGAAGGCTTTTTGTAAATTCAAATCGCTGAAAAAGGCAACAGGTGGTGTTCATTCCGGCATTTTTTTTCTTTTTTTTTTTTTATTTAAAAAAACTGACCGAATTTGCGACAGGTGACCATTTCGACGCGCCACATAGAGCCAAACTAACTCGTAACTCTCTCTCTCTCTCTCTTTCTTTTTTTTTTCTCTCTCTCTCTCTCCCTTCCTTACTCTCCTCGTCGTCTTTCTCTTTCGCTGCGCTGTGAAGTTAATCGAAAAGCCAGGCATTCGAACAAAAAAAAAAAAAAAAAAAAACTCAGGTACGGTTCCGTTGAGATATTCAGTTAAACTAGTCGCAGGGTCATGAACTCGATTCGAGTTTTTTTTTTTTTTTATGAGTTTTAAAAACACATTGTCGAACCGTACGTAATATAATAAAATAAACGTTTCGAAAAAATTAAAAAAATATGAGTTTTGGGGGGAGGTGGGAAGACGACGATTGGAGATTTTCCACTTTGTAAAATTACATTAAAAAAATTAATTTTTGTTTCGATTAAATTAATTTCAATGAACGCAATGCCACGAAACATGTTTAATTTTTATAAAAATAAAATTTCCACTTTCACATAATTTTTTTAAAAACAATAAAAAATTAAATTTAAAATTTAAATTTAAATTAAAAAAAAAAAAAAAATTTTCGACCTGATTTTCTCTTGTGTGTGTGTGTGTTCGTTAAACTGAACTCCTTATTTAAACCGATGTTGAAAAATAAAAATGAAGGTTGTTAAAGTAGGTCCTTTCATACCTGGTTGATTGCACCTAGTCTACCTGAATCCTCGCCTAAATATGTTTTAGCGAATGAAGTATATGATTCAGTATCTTCTCTAAATGGAAGTGACGTCAGTCACTCGTCGTGGCATTTTTCTCGTTCGTTCGAATATTTGCCAATTTATTATCATCATCATCATCATCATCATCATCATCATCATCCGTTTTATTATTATTATTATCATTTTAAAAATTCAACGTGCGTTTTTAAATAGAGTAAATAAATATTTTTTATAAAATTTTTAATTAATTTAATAAAAAAAAACATTTAATGCACTCATTAATAATTACTCACTTGTCGGTTAATTTTTATTCTTTTCCCTCCCCCCCTCCCCCCTCCATCCCTTCCCCCACTCTTTTTTTTTACTTCGCGTTAATCAAAATTTCACTTTTCACTTTTATTAATATTAATTATTATTTTTTATTTTAAAATATAAATAAATAAATAAATAAATTTTAATTTTATTAATGAAAACGTGTCGAACTGTTAACGCCTTCAATTTAACAATTAGGCAACAAGCCACGCATTTCATTTTCAAATTAGGAAAAAAATATTTTTTTTTTTTTTTTTTGTCTTAAATGACTTAAAATTAGCTTCTCTCTCTCTCTCTCTCTTTCTCTTTCTCTCTACGTCTCTACCTCTACCTCTACCTCTACCTCTCTCTCTTGTAAAATCGTTAAAATTTTTGAAAAAAAACTTACCCAAATTATCAGGTTTTGATAAAACGGTGTACCTTAATACAAATTTAACTTCATCTTGTTGCGGTCCCCACTCTTGTAGAATTTCCAAAGGTTTGTCCTCACTTCGAAGAATCCTTTCTGGAAACAAAAAGAAAAAGAAAAATGAATAACAATTTACGAAATATTCACAATTAAATAAATCCATACTTACGATAAGATTTAATCGATTCCATTGTGGTTTTTTCTGACGTAACGACCATCATCCTAAAATCATTTTTAATAAATTTTCTTTTCCGCCATTTTAATTCCTTATTTTTAATTTTTTAGAGTGTGTTTATATATTTATATAAATGAAATGTTATTTTTAACCTTTTAGACACGTAGACACGTTTTATTATTATTTTTTATGTATTATAATTAATAATCCGATTTGCATATGAAATAAAATAATAATAATAATAATAATAATTTTAAATATGTGTGTGTAAAATTCGAAACGAAATAAATAAATTAAAATTTTTTAATTATTAAAAATTCACGAGCAAATATTTATTTTTCCTCCCAACCCCTCCCCGTTTATTAACAAATGACGTTTCACTAAAAAAAATTCACATTTAATTAATAATAATAATAATAATAAGTAATTAAATTATCACTAACGAAAAAAAAATTTTTTTTTTTTTTTTAAAAGCCACCATTAAAAAAGAAATTTAAAGATTTTTTTTTAAAAATTTTTATTTTATTTATACGAAACAGTTTTAAAAACCACAAAACCTTTAAAAAAAAAAAAAAAAACATTTTACTTTTTATTATTATTATTATTATTATTTAAACAAACCTTTTGTGAAGAAAAATAAAAATAAAAAGTGAAAAATTTAGAATTTATTCGAGTTTTGTTTTGTTTTTTTTTTTCCTTTCTGTTCGTTCATAGCAACCGTCACGAAATTTCTCTCCCCTCCTCCTCCTCTCCTTCTTCCTCCTACTCCCGTTTTTACCCCGTTTTGTTATTTATTCCCTTTTCTGTTACACTCAATTAAAGTTCACAAAAAAAAAAAAAACGATTTTTTTTTTTTTTATGAATATTTTGTGGAAGGAATGATGGTCAAAATTATCATTCGAGTATTAAAAAAAAAAAAGATGTAAATGAGTGAAAATAATAATAATAATAATTATAAATTTACTGACCATAATTTCTCCAAATTTGAACCAAATTGCATAGGTCATCTCCAGGATCTCTACAACATTCGACAACGTCATAACAGGTAGTTTCAGGTGTTATTGGAACATCTGTTATTACATCCTCACAAATTACGCGAACAATTATCTGAAAAATACAAATTTATTATTTTAAACCTGTACAATGTCAACGTTTGAATGAATTTTTCCTCTTTTTTTTATTTTTAATAACAATTTCAATAATAATAATAATAATAACGTTTTTTCACTCATAAATTTATTTAATTATTAATTTAGAAATCGGCCAAAAAAAAAAAAAAAAAAATCTATCGAGTTAAAAAAAAAAAAATAACAATTATAATATAGAGAGTGAAAAATTTTAAAATTGAATGAATCAGGTACGAATCTAGGTCGACGTATGTATTAAAAAAAAAAAAAACGTTTGCCAAGTTAAACGTTCGATTGATGTTAAAAAAAAAAAAATTTTAATTTAAATTTATTTTTAGCGAGTACTTACCGGAACCATTAGACGTATCAAAAAATATATTTTTTATTCTTATCAATGAATTTTTCATTTTTTGCCAATATTACTGAACCTGTAACAAAGAAAAAAATTAAATTAAATTTAAATTTAAATTTAAAAAACAAAGGTACCATCAAATACAATCTTCGATACATCCTAAATTTTTGTGACCTTGGTATATGCCCTTGTGAACAATAAAAATGGTTTCTTTTTTTTTTTGCAAAATCATTTAATAATACGAATTCGTTTAAAATTTTCAGGTACAAAAAAAATTTACGGAAATGAAAAATATAAAAGTTCAAAGTTCAATTCACCTTCTTTAAAATCTTTCCCAAACGTGTTAAGAACATCTCATTAAAAAAAATTCATTAGGTCACGGACGGACGTATGGATGGACAATGGATGATGAGTTGAGATTGATCAGAATTATAATTTTTTTTCAACAAACAAAGGTACCAAAAAAAACAAACAACCTGAAAAGGTTTTATAACAATCACAAGGACAACCACATTTGAAAAAAAAAAAAATTTTTTTGGACGGTAATTACACGACTTAATGAGAATTTATATTGTGTTCGAGTTCAGGGTCGAAAATTTAAATTAATGAACGCGACGTTACGAATAATTTTTTTTTTTTTTTTTGGGGGGGGAGTGGGAGAGGGATGGGAGGGAGATGGGTGGGAGGGAAGGGAGGAGTAATAAGAGTATCCATTACTTTATATGTATAAAAAATTTTCCAATTAATTAAATAACAATAATAATAAATTTAAATTAAAAAAAAAAAACATGGAGTCTGTGAAAAATTTGTTTTTTGTGTCGAAATTTTAAATTCGAATAATTTAGTTTTTTAAATCAATGTGTCAATGGAAACAGAAAATTTTTCTTTTTTATTTGGGGGGGGTTTTTATTACCACATAATTTAGTTAAATTGACACTTTCTTTAAAAATGATTCATTCATTTGTTTTTTTTTGGTTGGTCGTGAAGGCGCCCTTAAATGCCCAACCCATATTTTTAGACGGTGATAAATTATTATGTTCTTTTACGGTTTTAATAATAATAACCTAAATTTTCAAATTTTTCAAATTAAAAAACTTTATAACTTTGTTTTGTTAAACAAAAAACTGAAACGATTGCAAAAAAAAATTATTATTTTACAATTTAAATTATGTAACTTCTTTCATTATTAAACGTTATTATATAAAAAAAAAATTTTTTATATGATTAAAACCGTTGTGACAAAGAAAGCCGACGCATAAAACTAACCTTATTATTATTATTATTACGGGGCGAATATTGTAAAAAAATTATGCCTACTCATAGAAAAAAAATAAATTTTTTTAAAAAGTGACAACTATAAGTATTCATTGTCTCACGTTTCATTCAAAAAAAAAAAAAAAAAAAAAAAAAAAAAAAAAAAAACGTTTTAAACAAAATTTTTGTATTTTTTTTTTCTTTTTGAAATATGATATTGTTGGTCTTAAATGAAATTATTTCATAAAATATCTTTTTTTTTTTTTTTTTTCTTTTTTTTTTCCCCATTAATATTTTTGTTAATGACTATCTTAACAAATAGACAATGAATATTTATACTTTATATATATATGTATGTATGTGTGTCTACATAGAAATTTAGATAATGATTTTAATGGTTCTTGGTTCACTGTACTAAAGGAAGGTCATTTATTATTTTTTTTTAAAAAAACTCCTCATTTTTTGTTTTTTTTTTTTAAAAAGTCTGATAGATAATTTAAATACGAAAAATTTCAAGCATTAAAGGTATAACTCAAGGTCATTTGTCGTCGTCGTCGTTGTCTTTGCTATTGTTAAATTTTGCTTAAAATCAAAATCACGTGATTAACGACACAAAATTTTTTTTTTTCGGTTTCATTCTTGATTCGAATTGATTATTTATTAATTAAATTAAAGTAAAAACTAATAATGTATGTTAATATCAGTCCCACTTATATCGATAAGAAAAAAAGAAAAATTGTCCCCACTTTAAAAATATGCTAATTTATTAAATGATAAATTTTATTTATTTATTTATTTATTACATCAATTATTATTCTATGACCTTCGATATGTTTCGACCCACACACACACACACACACATATTATGTACCTTTTTTTTGCTTCCGATACTATAAACTATAATAATAAATTAGTAAAAAAAACAACACAAAATAATAATGTAATAAACCAATAAAATAAAAAGATAATAATAATATTTATTATTTACAAATGATTATTAATTATTAATTAATTAATTAATTTTTTGATACATACGTGAGGGATGAAATAAAATTCGTTATTAGCAACAGACGAAAAAAAAAAAGAATTGAAATAACAGCGTTGTTGCCAAATTTATTTATTTCATCCTTTTTTTTTTTTTTTTTTAAATAACGAATTAAATTTGAAGTTTTTTTTTTTTGTTAAATTTAATTTTAAAAGAAAATAATTTTATTTAATAAGTTTGTAATTTAAATTCAAATAAATAAATAAATAAAGAAACAAATTAAATTAAATTAAAAAAGTTTTTAATTTAACATACCTCCTAACTTTACTGCCATTATTTAATTGTTAATTATAGTTTTCTTTTCTTTTTCTATCACAAAACAGAATTAATAAATTTAAATAACGATGATGATGATAATAATTATATTTAAATAAAATACTTTTTTTTTATTTTATTTTGCGTTCGGAGATAACATTATAAATCAAAAAAATATTAAATAAAAAAAAAAAAAAAAAAAAAACATAATCTGCACTTTCACTTTTTTTTTTTTTTTTTTTTACTTTCACAACCCACTTGTTTCGATCACCGAGTTTTTTTTTTTTCACTTTATTACATTTTATTTTTCACAATAAAATAAATGTTAAAATAAAACAAAAATATATATATATTTAATTATTGTAATTAAATCCGTTATAACCGAAAAAATTTTTATTTTATTTTACACCCCAGTTAACGGCTGCCGTTGGCGCGAATTAATTCTCAACTGAAATAGGTTATGTTTTTTAGTTAACTAAAACGCCGATAGTGGCAGCACTGGTCGTCCATTTTTTTTTTTTTTTTTAAATGTGGCAAATTTAAAATGTGAATAATTTCAACAACAACAAAAATGAAAATTTTTTTTTCTTATAAAATTATATTTAATTTAAAATATAATTATTTTAATTAATCATGTAATATATAATAATTAATTAAAAAAAAAAAAAACGATCCAAGTTAAATTA